CTGAAATACTTTCGTTTCGGATACGGTCCTTGCAATCGGAAAGACCGAGGTCTATCTCAAATTGAACTGCGGCCGCAGTAGAAGTTGCTTGTCGGCCATCTAACCACACAGTGTGTTCTCCAAATCCCACTTTGAACGAGCGCGTGCTTACAGGTCGAGGGGGCGGAACAGGCTATTAGTATTCAGGACCTATCGATCAGTGTGGTGGTGTGAAGCTGTCATCCAGGTCGGACTTGACAGGGATGATTGAAACAAATGTGAAGCCAATGATATTTGTTAATGTTTGTTAGGGGATCACACACCAACCCAAGGAATCGAATCAACTTAAAGCGCGACTACAATGTGTATTAGCCGAAACCGCAAACAGTATATGAGAAATTGTTGGAACTAAGCAAAAGCAACCGTCACCTTAACATACGTCCCCCCTAGTTCATCTAAAAAGGTCCAAAGTAGATGTTCTTATATTTGAATGACTGAAAGTAAACATTGCGTTAATTTTTCTTAGGGTTAAGGTAAATTAAGCAATAATTAATAGGTACTTGGCCTTTAAAGACAAAAGCTTTTGTGGGGTACGTATTTATAGTGAACCCGCTTTTTGGGCAACAGTCTCAATAAGATTGAGAACCACTGCTCTAGTCCTATGATTGTGGGTTGCTCGTTCCTAGTCAAGCCTGGAAAGAAGTCACCAATGTGTTCCGGGAACAAATGCTATCCGGTTTCTCAGTTGATCAAGTGGTCATCAGCATCATACAGACTGCTCTGTTATCATAGTAACGTTGAATTAATCAGCCTGCAATCAAACAAGGCACTCAGTCCGGATACATTGTTTCCTGTTGCTTTCAAGAACTGTGCAGTTCACTCAACAAAAGTTTGCACCAATTTGCACACGTTGTGTTCAAAGCAACATGAGATAGCCAATTGTCGGGTACCGAAGAACAGAACATGTAAATACCGGCCGATTACTTATAAATCGGTGACTTTGAAGACATTTGAGACGCACATTGTTAAAATCCTACACGAGTTCCAATGAACCCCATTAATTTGCAATAACCCTGTTTAAAGTTCATCTTAGATGAGGCGGCTTACTTTGTACATTGTGAAGTTCCATCAGTGATAATGAAAAATAATTCATGCGCATCTCTTTTGATTAAATAGAGCAATACATTCGATTGTCTGAACCGTGAACTGCTGTTTCATGATCCCTTAGGTGCCCGAGTCCAGCTTCGGGTAGATTTTTGACTGAAGTATTAATTTACTAAACGTACCCAGTTCATTAGTTTTTCGAGGAAGGACTCTCCGTCATTAACCACATATGCCTGTGTTCTTCAGCGAGCGCTTCGTTCTCTTTTTCCCCTATGTTACTACAATTTTGGCTCCTGACAAAGCCATCTTACGCAAGAATACGGGTTACATAATCCTGGATATCTGTCACGCAACCACAAAGTGATTAATGAAATTACCTGCTTCCATAGACGGCGTCATAACTTACTCCGATTTCCGTTACCAACGCTTAAGCTCCTCCGAACGGAAACATGTTTTTATCATTGCTTAAATGAAATCATCGCCAGAAAGTCCTTCTGCAGTGTCTACAACGTTGCATATATAGTGAAGGTCTAACCTCTCCAACGTCAGTGAACAATGTGGGAGTAACGTTAACCAGTGGTCTTACGTGCTCCTTTCATGCGAACGGAATATCCACTTAAGCCAAGAGGATTTCATTCTGTGTTAATCATCTCAGATAATCTTTCGTACCTCGGCTTCTGATCCAACGTTTTAGCACTAAGGGTTTGTTACACCTTTGGACTCATTGCTCGCTCCAGTTATCATCCCTGGTCTTTTGAGCTAGGATCTCAAATTAATTGCTAACGCAATGAAACCTTTATCGCGATGTGGTGGCATTTCAATTCCAGAACTTATTAACATCATTTATTTATCTTCACCGATTCCTGCAACGAAGTTGTTTTCAAAATTCCTATTAATGCTGGCCCCACCTACTACAGAGCATTGCCAGGGTGTAAAATAACCTCCTCTCCTAAACAGAGGCAATAAGGTATAATCCTGATGGTACCAAGACACCGAGCCCACAAAAGGACGGATCATCTAGGCGCTTACCCATGCGCCTTTAGTACATGATTTGTCCCTTGTTGCTTTCTTAGCTGCTAGCAAGTTAGTCCAGCAAAATCCTTGAAGTTACTTAACTTTTTTAGGAACTGTTGTGAATGTCCCTAATTATTCCCATCCGTAACATGTGTGCTGTGTTTGAGCATTCGACCTTCAGGGGTGCAAAGACCTGGTGTTTCATTTCAACAACTCATGCAATCTTTGCTTCTTTGCTGCTTCTTCAGTTTACAACGCTCATGTAGTGGACACGTTTCTAAAACTTGACACATATTCCATTTCCCATTTCAGCTTCTTGTGGCTGCTTTCACTGAATCACCTACAACTAATCGTATTCAACCGACTGCTTGATACATATTGCTGCATAATTCATGCAGCACTCGTTCGACGGGTCCCTACACTTCTCGGTCTTTCAGAACTTCAAGCAAATTCTCACCCAAGTAGCTACGATACCTTTATGCTAGCACGATAGTCAGGAAAACGTGTAAATCTTCATGACAGCGAGGAAAAGGCTACTGACATCAAGTTGTCCAACAGGATTTACATTAACCGAATTCTGCTTACTGTCTACTTGCAAACAACGTGTTCATTGGTACTGCAAAGCACCCATATTTTCGTCTATCTTGCAACACCGTCTGATACGGCCTCTTAGTAATCAAAGCTATCAGGGGGAGCTAAATGCGTTACTGTAGGGTTTGACCCTGGCCGGAGGAAGTCGGTTCCGGATTTACGTCACTACGGCCTCTATAGGACAGCAACGTCTACGCATACTGAGGGATCACGAGTGGCCTGCGCTGCACAATCCGCAGCTACGTCCACACACGCTATATACTGTGTGAACCCGAAAGAATGAGACCAGGAGGCATGTGGAAGGAAGCAACCTTTCATCAACTGAGTCGGGCCACACTTCCACATGCGCAGCGGCAGCAGAATTCCTGTCCATCCAATTTTAGGATTATACAGACCAGATGTAAAGAAGGCGGTGGCTGGGTCATAGCCAGCTCCATAATGGATGGAACACCTCACTGAGCGCAGCATGGTCACAGGAACAGTACAAAGTGCCCCCAGCAAAGATGAGCTGTAGGTTGGAGCGAGTAATCGAGCTGAGAGGTTTTCGACAGTTAAACACCTTGTGGTAGACTAAAGGCAGGCACGACTGCATCTGTTATCGGTGGCGTGGAAAGGCCAGAATGCGAAACTGCAACTAGCCAACAGCAGGCCATGCTGACTCCCCCAAAGCAGAGGAAGATATTAGAATGGCGGTTGTGTGTGCGGGAGGAATGGACGCACAAGCGACGCATACCGCACAACCCCTGGGCACAGAAGCAAACGCGCGCCATGCAGCCTCCAGCAAGAATAGCACAGACGGGTAGATGTCTCGTTTGTCGGAACGGATGCACCTTGTATCGGTAATGTTGACACAATAGATAATTCGCCGTCACTTCTACTTCGTACAACCTTACCAGCGTTCACATCAAGTGCAACCAGACAGGGAATAGCAATCCGCAAACATCTAAAATGTCTAGAACTACAATCGCATAGACACTTACGGACTAATTGCAGCAATGGTGTAGTGCACGTGCAACGCCGACCTCATTTTGACCTGGGTTGTTAAATGGATTCTGTTGCAGCATACTTACCAAGCACTGCACTGATACTTATTCAACCTACTAAATCGCCGCTTGCGCTATATTGACGCTTTGGGGCTACATTGATGGCCGACGAAAACGGTTTAACTAAGACACACAACCGCATGTGTTACGACACTAGGTGCTTGACGTCTACCAGCCACGCTCTATCGTCGCCTGTGACTTCTGTAACCGACGCTTTTACTCCTGCTTCAAAAAGACTTTCAGGTGCATGTGGATGTGACAATAACTTCCTGCATACGTTCCCTGGAGTAGATGATGGACCGTTAGGGTCAGTGCGTACATTTAATCGCTTCTCCGGGCAGGTTCTCATTGAGTCGCGCAGGGCTGTCGTAACATCGGTGTACGCCATGTGGTTACACAGTTTTATCGGAAACCACATTGAGTTTGCAGCAACTCCATATGATGTTATACGTAATTGGTTCCTGTGGAAGGCTAATGATTCACTAACAAGGCGTTTAGAAGCATCTGCTTTCTCTCTCATCCGATCAGTACGGCCCACCATGATGACCATCAAATCGGCAATTTCCATAGTCAAACTACTCTCAGGCTAAAATTAGGTGAACTCTAACTCGTGGTCGTGTCTTCACGGGATCGAAACAGTGTCAGCCCAAAGAAGAGATGGGCTATTTGAACTCGTCATACCTCAACACAGAACTAAAAATATTAAGGGCGCTTTTGACAATCGTTAAAATTCTGCCTCCCCTCATTGTACCTGAATACGCTGCAACCTGGACAACACAGTGGCTGTATAATGAGCGTATTTCTCCACAGAGGAAAGAGCGTATTTCAAGCATAAATCGGACAACTACTCGGAGCGCACCAGCGACGAATTGGTAGAACAATGAGTGAGCACTAATCAGTGCAAGTGTCCTTTGACAATGTGTCCATAAACTACCTTTATATGTTCACTAGGCTGCTTGCTGTTGGAACGTTTATCAAGAGATGACGTGTAAAAGATCATTGACTCAGCGTTGGGCTGTTTTGTATATACTGGAAAGCTGAAATAAATTCAGTGTTCGTCGTTTACAATCACTGGGGCGACTTTAATCAATTCCTGTGAGGACCTTGGATGGTCCTGTTACGCCAAACAGATGTTAGTTCTGCCAACTGCGTTTGTCCCCAGTTGTTTGTCTACATCCACTGGAAATATGTGACAGTGTCCGTTGTAGCTGCGAAGAAGTTGTATGATTTTTATGCGTGTGGTTTCATGTATGACTTAAAAATCAAAGTCGAAAGACAACCTGCAAAAAGGTCATTAACAGAACAGCACAACGGAAGTTAGAGAGAGATATTGAACAGTGTAAACAATTATGCTGACTTCCAGGAGGATAAGAAAGAGAAATGAAAAGGAACTTCAAGCCGAGCAGGTGCTTTTCACAAAAATAGCCGTTGTGCTTTCTAATATTTTTAAATGGTTGGGAATCCAATTTCACAACATGCAACGTGATCAAAAAACACATTACAGAAACACCTCGAACACGCGCACGCCATCGCGAACACGTCCATGGCTAAAGATCAAGGTTTCATTCAGCAATGTGTGACGAATTTTGTGTCCCTGATCACAGAAACTGGCATGCTTGTTGATTGCTTGTTTTTACTGTTCAAAAATGGCATTGGAAGTGAAGTCGCTGTGAACATATCTGCTTCAGATATTTGGACAGAGTTCGCCTGGTTGTGTGGGCTGTGACCTGACTGGCGGTGCAAGGCCCCCGACAGTTTGGATAACATCGCCACAGCCGTCACATTTAGGGCAGACAAAAGCGCGGTGGAATCGAGCTGTTTGTCATTAACCAACTTAGTTGCATAGTTTCGAACAAGAGGATTTAACAGCTCGCCGGTGATCGAAGGAAACGTGTGCATTGTAGTACCATTCCCTTCAGTAGAGAAGTGATCCATCCTTAGTTCATTGTTTTGTACATCCGGGAAAGAGCTTACGAAAGAGTGATGGTCTGGATGTCGTGAATGAGTAACCGGCGGGAAATCTTTGACTGACAAATTAGACCCATTAATTCCACATTGGTAGTTAAGGATGTCTGTAGCAGTCGACTGCCCATTCGGTAAGTGACCTACTGGAATAACATCTGAAAAGCGATTTGCTTTAAAAGCGGGGTTTGCCCATATTGCACGTCTCAGCTGCGGACTGATTCGCTGTAAAGAAATTGGCGCTGACTTTATAGAATTCCACCCGTGGGATAGTGGAAACTGATTTTCTTGACGTATCACACTGTACGTGGAGGACGGCAGTGGAGCCAACAGTGTCCCGTGAGTGGCAGTGTCAGGTCCAAGCATCGACGGATCAGAGTGCGCCATCAACGAAGAGGGGTACTGTAGTGTGTAATACTGACCTGATCGGGCCAGTAAACTGTTGGGCTCTGTAGCAACTTCCGGAGCTTCAAAGTCGGCAATCACTTGGCGTTTCCACTTATTTCTTCTATTCTGAAACCAAATCTTTACCTGAGTCTCCGTCAACTGCAGAGCCTTGGCCAACACAACACGTTCCGAGCTGGACAAGTACCGTTTCAGGTTGAATGTGCTTTCCAATTGGTGCACTTGACTGCGTGAAAACACCGTACGTGTTTTCTTTTTACGTCGAAGCAAACTGATTGATCCAGAATGAGACAAGCTGTGTGGCCTGTACATCAGCGAATGGCCGAGTTCTCCGTCACCCTCATCTGTAGATGAAATTGAGAGAGAACCTAAATGTGGTACCCAAGTAATCAAGATGAAACTGTCAAACAATAGTACTAAGAAACTCTCGTTTGTTGCAATGTTAGAAAACATAAATTGTGCAGCTACCGCTACATATCTAAGAAAAATTCCCTCCAGTCCTTCTTAGACAAGTGGAAGCGTAGTTAGAAGGTTGGATTACTTCACTTAACTGCTCGGTATCTCAACGTCCAAATGCACTCCTCCGTTCTTTACTGGCTTGCTCTTGTACCAATATTGTGTTTGTTACAGAGACTTAGGAGTGAACATACTTCTAATGATCACTTTCACATCGTAAACACCCATCGGTTTAGTAATAGACGCATATCCCACCGAGGTGATATTTGTTGCATATACGTGGACAATAATAGTTACGCAACTTTTGAGTGTGACCGATTTCTAAGTGGCCTTGATGATTCCGTTCGGGTTAACAATAGCCGAAGTGCAAAATCATCCTTATCGGATGTGCATACAACACATCACAAGGTAGTAATTCTGATGTAGATTATCTCGCGAAAGTACCTACAGAATTTTCTGAGCAGCCTACAGCACAAAATGCGAGTGATGGAGTCCATATACTTGAGACAGCCTGGTAGCCCACATGCTCTCCACCCAATGGTCTATATTTGCTGTAAACACAGTGACGCAGATCAATTTGTGCAGAAGGATGAACAATCTGCGTTTACGTGCCATAAGTATTAACTATGACAACTTTTAATTTGGTTTTGCTTTGCTATCTCAATCCCATAACAATCCCTCGTAACACAATTACTCTATCGCTTTGCCCATGCGCACTTTAGTTTGTCCACTTAGGAAATATTTAAATCTCAATTTCTCCTCTTGCCAGCCTACGGGACATGTTAAGCTTATGCTCTGTACCCAGTAAAAATCGTTCATCCTGGTGAGATTGCATTACCCACTCTTATACGAACTAGCACTTTCCACATGTAACTACTGAAATTAATATGTAATTAGTATTACGCAAACAACTACATTTCCCCTTCCATCTCTAGCAATGCACACATGCATCCATTGGACCCATACAAGGCAGTTTTCAGTGAGAAAAGTAAAAAAGAACCGAGTGACGAATCGATTTAATGCTGCCAGTCAGGAAGACGGGACTAATTTCCAAATCACCTGTTCGGACGTGGAAATCGAACGCCGTGTCATCGAGAAACACCGAGTAAAGATTTATCGAGCTGCTGCGTATTCATAACACTGACTGTAACGGTGCGAAATTTAACTATCTCCATTGTGTGTCTATATACACGAGCATGTATACTGTACAAATACTGACGTATACCCCTCATGAGGCGTAGTCAGTTGTTTAATCGAAGCAGAAACTATTTGTATGATTATTTAGGAGACGTTGAAGCATCTGTTTGTTGTCATGGGCGCCCTCAGGAATCAGATGCCAGGCTTGCTTACTCGAGTGATAACAATCACACTTTTGTTATAATCGAAGCTATAGGCAAATTCTTGAGCGATTAATGCCTGTTATGCATCTAGCTTCGTGCTTAGTCAGGTCTAATCAAAATGTGTTTGCATCAATTCATATATTTAGACCATCATAAACTATCATTGTGAACACTTTCGTCTTTTGTACAAAGCTTTAGTTAAGTGTCCAAAAATTTGTAGTTTACAAAGAAAGACCAGGCAAATCTGAATTCCGCATGCACATATTATACAGGAATCAATGTTAGTTTCTTTGCAGCAAACATTTAGTTGTCCTGTGTTATCAGATCATAGTTCAGTTTCTCTAGCATGTAGTCCACAGTGTATTTCGGTGAAAACGCTGACCGACAGTTAGCTACAAGGTTTCTACGCAATTCGACAAAACCGCACAAGTCACTTTATACACCTAAACAGTAATCATCGTTTGCTTAGTTTTTGTCGTGCGAAGCACAAACAGATGTGTCGTCGTGACTTGTTCACGGGATAGTTACTCGACCCTTTTACCATTGGGTGAACTAGTACTGATAACTCACTGCACTTCACGATCGGTTGCGTAATCATTTCCACTTATCAAACGGAGATAGCAGGACCATGACTCGAATCAGAGAATCCGGGATGTTGGCCGAAACCCTTGGCCCTTATCCATCTAGTCGCGGCCGGTAACGCTTGACTCGAATGTTAATGAGACTCACTGGAGCGATCATTTTGATGAACCAGTTGATTCTAGGGCTGAAATCGTAGGTACGAACAGATGTGATGAGTGCTGACGGCAGCGACTGGGTTGCTTAGGGGTATAGGCTTCGACTGATATCTCAAGGGTCTCGCGTTCCTTTCGCATTCCCATTATCTCAACTTGATGTATGCTATCGAGTGATAGACCGCTCGTGGAGGACGGTGCTGTTATCGGGCGACAGACAATGTGTATCTGCCTGGAATACGTTCCAAATGACCGAATTGACAAGGCTTCTCCCCAGAGTGGATTGGTGCCTTGGTTGAGATTGCGTGCTTCAACCCACTCAAGCAAATTGTGTTCCAATATGACCCTTCCAATGAAAAATACATCAGTGAACTTATTCCCACCTTCCGCATCATTAATGTTGGTCGGGCATAACTTCATTCTTTGCATCATAGCTTGGCATGAGAGCACATGGCATTGAATGCCTTAAGACTTTCTGCTTATGTGTCTCGAAGAGGGATCTGGGAATTGTACTTACGACAGCAATAAAACACACAATTGTTTAAAAAATATCAAGGAAGAGAACCTACACGGGTCTTCCAATTCTGTCTCTTCTTGCGGCGAATTCCATACCTGGTTCTGCGTTTCGGTTTGTTCAACCTTTTCAACCAACTCCTCCAGTTCCCCTGGGCTTGGCAGAGTGCTCCCCTCATGCGTCACCGTGATAGGCTTGCTTACTTTTGACAGTTGCGGCTGAGACGGCTGCGTACTTGCGACCTCACCGCGCTCACTGTGCTGCGACACCGTCACCGTTGATTCAGTGCACACACTAGAACTGATCCCGTTGCTGACTGGCAACTCGGATTTTTCAGTTGCATTCCTACAGTTCGCTGCTTTGTTAGAATCAAGCTCTTGCTGCTGGGATGCTGCATGTCGTGCATAAGAAGAATGAAGCAAAACGTACGCCTGGTCGGGGTGATTAAGTAGCCACTTCATTAGCTCCAGGCCTAATGTTTGGCTAACGTCATCCCGTGGATTACTGACTGCTGAAGGTCCGACAGTCGTCTCAGAAGAATTCGCCGGCTGAGTTTGTGAAGTGATGTTTCCATGATAATCGTTCATCAGGTCAATCGTTCGCCTTGTTTGATCGAGTGCTTCATCAGAAGACGTGCATAATGGAATGTTCGAACACGGGAGCTCAGTTAACCGCGGGTCTTTCAACCTCGACCACCAAGTGGAAGCGTGTCTAACGAAGTCCAGCATTTTCGGCTCAGACGTAACGTCCATTGAAGTGTGCTGACCCGGATATTGTAAGCAGTCAGTTGGCGCAGACGACCCCAAAGAAGAATGCTGGGTTATTAGTGCTGAAGAAGAGAAAAAAGCGTGCGAATGAAAGAGAGACTGAAACTGTATTTAAGAGCAAGTAGAGAGGTTTCTGTACAACTCTATCGAATTACGAAAAATCAAAATTTACTTGTGAATCATCAGCAGTTGTGTCTGGTCCGTTAATGGTTAGGAATTTGTATAATGTATAATGTCATTATGTCCGGGCATACAATGTCTTATTTTGGCACTGTATGTGCATCGTCTCACAAAAGCACAGGTTTCCAAGATAATCGTCGATACGGGTTTTAAACACTTCACAGAATCGGCCTCTATTAATCCTTCAGGTAGTGTATTCCATAAGTTTACGATTCTTCGTTCGATACAAAGCTGATGTGATACTTTGTTCATGCTGGGGACCCTGAGTTTGTAACGATGTCCTCGGGTGTTACATGGTACCCGCAGGTGAAATATTGGCCGCAGTATGGGGAAGTGGCTCAAGTGTAGTACTCTATGGGTCATAATAAGATCAATTCTTACTCGGCGATAGGATAGTGTGTAGAGTCCGAGCCTTTCACAACGTTTTTCATACGGAAGCTTTCGTAGACTTGGTATCATTCTAGTTGCGATATGCTGTATTTTCTCCAGCATTTCAGTTTCCCATTGGGTTATCGGATGGTAAGCTGGGGCACCGTATTCAAGGATTGGTCTAATGAGCGAAGTGAATAGACGAGGGTCGGTTTCTTCGGACCATGTGGAGAAACTGCGTCTTAATGCCCAGAGCATACGAAGCCCCGCACGGTACAATTTCTCTGTATTTTCTAGTGATCTTAAATCATGTCGTGAGAGAACTCCTAAGTCTCTGACAGATGTGTTGGGATGGAGCAACTGACCGTCCAAGGTGTATGATCGAGTGGCTGGACGTCTGGTGATACTGATGAACTCCGAGTTGCTTGCGTTAAGAGGGAGTTGCATTTCAGTGGACCACGGAGACTCAGTTACATCAATTGTCTGTATATAAGCTATGGAACGTTCTTGTTCAAAAAGTGACAGCGAACAAATGCATGTAACTGTTGAGGGACGGTTGGGTTGTTACCTCCAATTTGGCTGAGCTGAGCCGTTCCCAGTTTATAAACCTTAACGGCCGAATGCTTGCTGGGTTAGTTGCGTATGGCTGAATGTAATTACGGTTTGAGGAGCAAATTATCACTAGTTTCTGACTTGATGTCAGCAGCGACGGCTCAACTGCCTAAGGTCGATGTGCTATATCAGTTTCACCTAATTCACAGTTGGGAATAAATCGTGCTGCGTTAGGATTATAATTTAAACCAAAGTTGTTTATGCCGCGGTTCTATAGCAGTATATCGCGTCGCACCCCACCACCAGAAAGTTGGAAAACGCAATAGTTTGGGGTCCTCGTATATTAGCGTTTAAATTCCTATGTTGACGTGAATTGTTCACCAGAATTTCACTTCGCTCATTTAGGAAAGAGAATCGCTCTCCCATAAGGAAACGAAACGTTATCACGTTTTCTTTTCGTCACTATTGCACAGACTGTGTAGCGGTTGCTAGAGTGTGGTTCAATGACAGACAAATTCGTTACCACGCAATCAGTCATTAACCACTGTACCAAGAGTTGCCCGTCTTAACCCGGTAGCTTGGGGTAGCGGTCCCAACTAACATCCTAATGGTCCCTAGTTTGAGGCTTGCTGTCTCAGCTGGATGAAAGCGACTAAGGTGGAAACGCGCCGTGGAGTACAGTGCTCTGGGGTAGGCAACGCCTAATGTCTATCTGCTAATATTCAGTCATGTTATTCCAATTTACTACGGGCCTAAGAAAATGGAAGCGATGGTTTGAGTGCGTGTCTAACTACCAATCACAAAGCGATACATTACCATAAAGATAAAGTACACGATATCGTTATGTTGAAATTGGCAGTGTTACCTTGACTTAATGTCAACCAATTAACCTCGAGGCAATTCCCATTTGTACTATCTATGAATCCATAATACCATTAAGTTTGCTGAAGTTAAGGTGAGTAAGACCTCGGACGAGTAAAAAGTAGCAAGTCGATTTCGTCGGAGTTGTCTCGCTTAACATCACCCCGAACAATTCTCTGAATTAACTGAGCCTAAGTGTACATATTAGAAGTTCCATGTGTGGAGCTGACCATACTTTCAAAACCAAAGCTCGGAAAGCGGTATAAAGAGAGTGGCCTGCACCCAGATTTTTTGTCTATAGTTATCCAACTTTTTCCGGCAGAGCTTTCAAACTGGAGTCTATATCTTAACTGACCGTTAGAGCTTGGCCCACTCCGTCGAACTTTAATCACATATCGTGCTGGTATAGCAAACCAATGATACACTGTACAAGTGAATTTTTACCGATGATCAAACATGTTTAGTGGTAATAGCTAACTGGTGCTTCCTGCTTGTCACAGAAGTTCGTTTGTTTAACGAGTTTCGACCAGTCGATTTGGTTTTCCAGGTGGCAAGTGTATTCTGTATTCGTTTGCACCCGTCAGTTAGCTATAGCAGGACAGCATCTCGAATCCGAAACTTAGAAGTGACCATGCTCTTGTACTACAGGTAATGGTACCTTATTGATTCGTTTGAGGCACTTGTTACGTGGTCAGATTGAGACACTTACCCGCTAAATGATATTGTGAGCAAGCAATAACTAACAATCGCCTGCCTCATCTATCGTCCAGTGACCGAATTGAAAGATTCACTTTAAAGTAATTGTTTCCCGATTTGAAACGGCGTGTCGTATTCCTTCATCCGAATATTTCAAGCGATCCAATTATGGGTTGTTAAGTTATGACAGACCATACCTGATATAAACACTTGGAGCTTGTGCGACTTACTTCGGAATGTATTTGAACCGTGTCCACTTCACCCTGGGTGGTTCTAGTCGCCTTTATTGATTTAGTACAACATGGTAGATCAAATAACATAGTCGAAACAGATACATTAGTGCCTTTCATGTACACTTTCAGTGCATAAGTTATGCCAGCTAGCATGCCTGTCACTTACCGTACGAGTAGTTGTCATAAATTACTCTGTTTTGACAAAACTAACGGGGCGAACATACTCTGTTGCGGAGATTGCCATAGGATTTCAACTTTTCTGCGCAAGACAAGCTGTGACCCCGTGACTTGTAATCACCTCCCTACACTCCTTCAGTTGTCGAATACACCAGCTGATGCACTAATAAGAGGCACTGTAGTGAAGTTCTGTCACAACAGTGCAACTGAAACTGTCCTCAGATTTCGCTGATCATACGTGGGGAGATGAGTTTACATATGACATGACTGAGCTCATGAGCTAATTTAAACCAGTTCCAGGTAAGCCACTACTGCACAAGTTGGTAAGGTGTACTTTCGTGACAATTCTTGATTACCTGCTTTCGTTGCGTTACCGTCCGTTTTTTGGCATACGTTTAAACGTATCATTTGCTTGACTTGATTGCCTAGCATGTGTCGTTCGCAATGGATATTTTCCCTTGGTCCCATTCCAGCTAACACCGTTTTCACGGATACACCTAATTGGAGCTTAAATTTATCTCTTCTTATTCGTCTGTTTCATCCAGCGTCTCCTATGTTGTTGGTTTACCCTAATGTACTTCAGTTGCTTTGCTTCTGTCATCATTGTACCCCGATTAAAGGAGGCAATATTCACATGCATGCAACTCAGCCTTGGCTCGTCTTCTAGTTTGCTCTGTGGTTGTGGGATGTAAACGCTCGACTGTGATGCAACAAATTCTGCCGACGGATGTGGCAGTAATACAACGTAAGGCGTTCTTGCGCGTTGGTTAAATCGTTAGTTGAATTGCTTGGGTGCACCGCAGTGAGAACCCTACATCCCGTGCTATACTCGAAGGCGTTTTTGGTATTCCCGATTCTGTGCGACTTTCATTGTTAATTCATGTCCGCCTAAGTTTAGTGACTCATAAAAATTAACAATTGGATCCACATACTGTCTTTTTCGATTAACTTATAGTGTACATTATCACCATTGTTATCAACGTGCGTTTACCATTAATACATAGATCTCACATAACCATAAGTATCTTACTACTGAGAAATACAAAGATGTGAAGAGGGAAGCGATGTTGAACCTTAAAACCACAAACAATTTAAGAAGCGTACACCATACCAAAAATAAATGACTTTAAACAGATAGCTGGGTGAGAAATATCCTTTGCAACTGTCGCCACTGTGTGTCTGAATACACATGTAATGAGCTCACTGTAAGAAAGAGTATCCTTGACTGCATTGTTCATTCACTAATTCGCTTTCGCTTCTTATCTGACTACTTGGGGGCTTCATTTCCACATTGGCTTTGATAGGTTAGCTCTCCATTGCATGTGTCTGAGTTGGTTAAATTATCTTGCACTCTGCCTATTCGAGTTAGCCATTAGCCTAAACACACTCATGGGGTAGTCAGATGACACTGGGAATTTCGGCAGGTACCCGAACTCCTGGGGAAAGGTAAGATACCAAGGTGAGGCAGTTGAGTAATTTCACTCTTTTATTCAACCGTTTATCGGAACATGCATGGACTAAAGCATAAAGTCTGTCTCACTGCCAATGCTTCAGCATAATCTTAGCTGGTCACGACAGCTAACATGTTTCCAGTGTCTACCCTCAAGTTGTTACCCGGAATTTGTTGGTTTTGATGATCCATTGCGTGCCGTGTGAGTTGCTTGTGCCAATCTGCCTGTGTAATTTGTCCTTTCGTGTCACACTGGACAATTAGGCCGAGATGCACGGCCTGGTTGGCTTGTTCGCATTGCCAACAGCAATTGTATTACGGTCGGAGAAATGCAGGCGACATATTTGGATGATGGTGCAACCTCCATGCAACCAGCATGAGAGACAAAATGAATAAAATGTTCGCACTGCTCAATTACTGGATGGCCTGGTATTGTGTTTGGGAATGTGAATGAAATAATTGCATCGTTCTTTTCCGGTACAAGAACAGTTTCCAATGAGTGAACTAGCTGTTTTTAGGTCTGCACCAAATAGAGTTTGGCAAA